GAACCTGTTTCACCCTTTTAGTGCAGTCTCTGCAGAGTCGTTCACTTCTCTTCTGAAGGCAGAAAGATTCTGTGTGAACCTGTCTCAATTCTTGTGAGCAAGTTCCTTTCAATGCAGTCCACCATCAAATTCTCAAAGCATAGACGCATGGCTTGTTGCTTCTCAGAGGGGGCTGGCTACTAACAATGCTGCTCCGTAAGTCCAGAGAAATACTTCTCTCATTAAGGAGAATGAGACCAAGGAGAGGTCTGCTCATGGACCACTGATTCCGACAGTCTTCAAATATATGATGATATTGAGAACAGTGGAGAGTATCTGCTGGGATCATTTCAGGGTGTTGCTGCATAATGTGCAGGAAGCGCTCACTCTCTTGTGGTGGTGGGGGCTCCTCGTTTCTTACCAGTTCGGGATAACTGTTTGAAGAGGTATGTGGTCCAGACAAGAACAGAACAGCAGCCTGTGCACACCATGGTGTCCTCCAGAGATGTGAGCTCCTCAGAGAACAGAATGATTTGCACTTTAACGAGTGCCTAGTAGGTAATGTGCAGATTATCTAGGTAATTTTCAGATTACCTAGGTAATGTGAGAAATATTTGAGAAACAAAATCATTTTCTGAACTTTAACTGATCGCCCTAGGTAATGTGCACATTAACTGATTTCTGCACTTTAACTGTAACATATATATTTCAAACACAGACACCCAGAGGTATTGTATATGGAGTGCATTGATGCAACTGTTTTAGCCCCAAAAACTGGAAAAAGTGTGTGGTGGTAATTTTTCTTTTTTACTGTGATTTAGGAGAGCCTGTTGTTGGTTATTGCAAGAAAACACTCCAGGTTGTTTTCTGCAAGGCTTCCTGAGTGCACCCATGAGCCCCATACATAGGGTAAACATAACCACAAAAAAGAAAACTGAATGGCAAATGTAAAAAATTAAATAAAATGGACCAGTGTATGGTATCATTTGAAGCAGTCCCCAATGCAGAGTCCAGGCCAATCAGGACTGTGATATACGGTATCTTTTCTCTCACTCTTGAAACAGACTCTGCATCTTTTTGAGGGATTCTGCTAAAAATAAAAAGTGTAGCCCCAACTCTCTCCCATCACCGATCGGAAAGCAGGTGCATCCCGGTACAAAATCCCCGAAATTATCTGGAGCTGAAACTGTAAAAAAGTCAGTTGCATTCCGGGGTTTGCGTTTTTGAACAACAAAAAAGTGTTGTGGGTTGCAGTCTGCATTAAGTAAATTGCAACCTTTTTGTACCAGGCCCTTGTCTTGCGTATAATTAGTTAGGGCTGCAGCAGCTGATCTGCCAGATCAACCCCACCCATTTGCCGGTTATAGGCCTTGAAGCACACTGGCTTCCTTGTGCTCGCACCTCTGCCACGTACAGAGACCTCCACAGTCCTCTCAGTGTGGATGGTGGTAAGAAGGTATACATCCTTATTGTCTCTGTACTTAATTGCCAACATCTCCTCTTGGCGCAGAGCTGAGGTCTCCCCCCTTCGTAGCCGGGTGCGTGCAAGTTGTCCTGGCAAACCTGTGCAGTTCTTTTTTTATTGTACCGCAAGCTACTGTATCAAAACAATACAGTAGCTTGAACAAAGGGAGACTTGTTTAAAAATTGTATACAAGTAGTACCCTTTGTTCATCAGGGGGAATATCAGGTCCCGGACAATCTTGTCACTGGTTCCCATATGTTCTGGGCATCCTGGAGGGTCAAGGTGGCTATCCTTTCCCTCGTACACCCGGAAGGTCTGAGTATACCCAGTCTCGCTATCACAGAGCTTATACACCTTTACACCATAGCTGTAGCGCTTGGAAGGAATATACTGCTTGAATCTCAGCCTTCCCTTATACGTCATCAGGGATTCATCCACGCATATAGTCCTTCCAGGTGTATACAGGGCCAGACTGGCCAACCGGGAAGTTTCCCGGTGGGCCGTCGGCAGCTGGGGCCAGACAGACAGCTGGCTGTGCTGGCGGCCGTAGGGGGAGCTGGCTGTGCCGGCGGACACAGGGGGAGCTGGCTGTGCTGGCTCTGCTCCCCTTCCCGTGCTACTTAATGAGACCGGGGCTGTCTCATTAAGCTGCACGCTGGGGAGCAGAGATAGCACAGCCAATTCGCTCTGCGGCAGCCAGGAGCCAGCTCCCCCCTGCTGCCGCCAGCACACCTGACCCGGCTGTCTGCCCTGCACGACTCCCTGGCCGGTCGCCCACAGGTAGCTATATCATGTGTTAGTCTGTCATGATGTGTCTGTTTGTCATGGTGTGTCTGTCAAGGTGTGTGTGTCTGTGTTTAAAAAGTGTTTTTACTCACCGTTTTTTTGTTTTTTTCCACGCCGTGCTGCAGGGCTGGCATAGATTTTTTTTATTTTTTTTTATTTTCAGGGCTGCTTTGTATCCCCAGTCCGGCCCTGGGTGTTTAAGCCTCTGCCAGCCTGGCAGCGAAATGGGTAATCAGGGGGTGGATTTTGTACAGCCTGTAAAACTGGGGA